GGAATTGGATAAATTTGGTATGGTTAGACTCGTGAGGGTATGCCGATTCTGAAAATGTAAATTTTACGCGATTCCGAGATGTGGGCCCGGGATCGGGTTTTGGTAATTGTGGGAATCGTGCCCTTTGTTGATTGTTTTCGCTTGGGCTTTGTTTCCTTAGCATATTGTGACATATTCGTTCTGATTTAACATAGATTCGACGCTCATGGAGGCCGATTTGAGGGGCAAAGGCATTGTGAGCTAGAGATTTAGCCGGTTCGAGATGAGTAATGATTGTAAATGATGTCCTGAGGGTTTGAAACCCCGGATAGCACATCGTAGTGCTATATTGAGGCAAGATGCGCGCTAGATGATGAGCGTGGGGTCTTTTACTACTGGGGATTATGACTTGGTCCGTCTCGATTGATGATTTTACCGTGTATTTGACTGAAATTCATTTGTTATCATCATGATTTGGGTTGATTGCCATATTTGGGTTTCGTGCCAACTATTTGAACCCTTCAAGGATTTTTATCACTGTTTCCTCACTGCCTGACTTATTATTTGAACTCAGTCCTGTTGATATCTACTGTTTTACAAACTCAGCCACTTTTACTTAGATTTAAAACTTAAATAATATTTCTACATCATGTTTTGGGGTGAGAACTACTATTTTACTAATTCCCAAGAGGCTTGTGATGATGTTTTGGACTGAGTGAGGCTGAGGGCCATATGTGAGGATATGCTGAGTGATATAAGGCCGAGGGCCTGAGATACTTTGCATGCCACGAGGTGGCTTGAGTGATGTGAGGCCGAGTGCCGAGTTATGATGCCACGAGATGGTTTGATATAGCGCTTGGGCCGTAAGGGGCCCCTCCGGAGTCTACACACCCACAGTGAGTGTGGGTACCCATTATGATCTGAGAGTGAGCCCGATGGGCTGATACTGTTCTGAGTGATTGATACTGAGCCCGAGGGGCTGATACTGTACTAAGAGTGAGCCCGATGGGCTGATACTGTTCTGAGCGAGTGATATTATGCTCGAGGGGCAGATTTCTACTTGTTATTTACCTGTTTTACTTGTTTTTAAAAGGAATATCATTTGATTTCTTCACTGATTTACTGCTTTAAGTGAATTTACTACTTGATATGGAATTGCTTTGTGCCTTTACGTGTTTTTATACTTTCAGCCATTATTTATAATTATTACTCACTAAGTTAGAGTACTCACATTACTCCCTGCACCATGTGTGCAGATTCAGGCATTGCAAAGTCTGCTCCTCAGTGCTGATTCTCCCAGTTCAGGTAGTTATTCGAAGACTATGAGGTAGTTGTTGGCGTTCGCAGCCCCGTGCCTCCCTTATCTTATCATTTTCATGTTTTTAGAACTATTGTATCGGAATTACTGTTTAGTAGACTTGTATCCGGATTTCTTAGTTGATCATGACTTGTGACACCCCGAGTTGGGCTGTATCGGGATAGTTTCCACTGTTGTTATCGTTAAATTTTCGCAATCTATGGATATTATATTATGTTTGTTACTGTTTATGATAATTAACTGCTTAAAGAGGTGTTCCGTTTTGGTCTGGCTGGCCTTGTCTTCACGAGAGGCGCCATTACGATCGGGTTCAGGAATTGGGTCGTGACAACTATGTCTCCACAAAAGCCCTATATGATCTTGAGTTGAATGAAGCTTACATTAGTGGTGACTTACATAAGGGGCAAGCATAGGGTACTTAGATCCGGACTTGTGACTTTTCCTTGAGAGAGATGAGTGTGTTTCCATTAACCTCGTTCTGAGTGTCACTATCTTAAATGTGAGGTTGGCTTAGGGAGAGTTGAGGATGTGTGAGTTTGGGTTCTACAATGACCGAAGTAATAGAAAGAGTTTCTTTGATGTGTTGAGTCAACTCTTGATGCTCTTGTGTCTCACTTCATCCATGGTGTTTAAAAGGGTAAATGTTGTTAATGATTCATTTGTATTGAGGGCAATTGTTAGTCCCAATTGATGCTAGATGAGTTCACTTTAGGACAGCAGAATTTTCTTGGATGTTCTCTAAAGAGGTGGGTCTTATTTTGCTTGCTTGAGGACAAGCAAAAGCTTAAGTTTGGGGGAGTTGATAACTAGGAATTATGACGCATTTTACACTCCTTCGTGCTCAAGATTTGATTAGAAATGTGTACAAAATAGTCGCAAAGGCTCACAAGTTGTGCTTGATTGCAGGTTTGATCAATAAGGTGACAAGATGTCAAAGACCAGCTCAAAAAGGAGTGAAACTTGCACAAGTACCAAGACAAGGCAAAGCTCAGTCAAAATAGGGCCAGTGCGGTCCGCACAAGTGAAGTTTAGAGAGTGTGCATCTCAGGCCAAAAAGGCAATGCGGCCGCAAAGTATTTTCTACGGTCCGCATTGGATTCACTGCAGCCGCACACGATTTAGTGTGGTCCGCAGAGTCAAGGTTAAGAGAATTGCCAAGATGAAGATTGAAGCCCAATGCGGTCCGCGCTCCATTTCATGCGGACTGCACTAGAAGCCACCACAACCGCACTCGATTCTGTGTGGTCAGCATTGCCCAAGTTCAAAGAGTTGGATATTCAAGTCAAGAGCCTTAGAGCGGCCGCACTTGATTTTGTGCAGTCCGCACTAGTCCCGCAGGGGTATTTTTCTCCAGAATTGACAGCTTAGTATAAATAGCTTCTTTTCCCATTTTTAGGTCATCAGATAGTTTTTTCTCAGAGCTGCGCTCGTGACTTAGCTTCTTTTATCTGTTTTGAGTAATTTTATCTTCATTTCAACATTGAATCTTCAAGTTTAATTTAGCGATTAATTAATATGAAATTTTCTTCATCTATTTCTTTGTTTTCTTCTCTAATTATGAGGAGCTAGACCCATAAGCTAGGGTTGTGGCTCAACCCTAGTATGGATAATTGATGGGTCTTGTGTTTTGATGCTTGATTGGCTATGGGTGTTTGATATTTGGACTAATTTCATGTTTAATTGCTGAATTATTGGTTGCAAACACTAGTTTGTGTTTAGTTGACTTTGGCTCTTCTTGAGAAAGAGAGCCTAAGTCTCTGAAAGTGGTCCAAAATGGAATTGGGGCGTACTCAAGAGATTGATAGCCCCAATTAAAGGGTTAAACCTAGAGATAGTATACCCGACTTGAACCTTGATTGCTTGTGCAAATTTGCATACCCAACTGGTCTTGAGAAAGTCAATTCAGGCAAAATCAATCGAACTACCGAGAGGTATAGAGTGAGTAGAATCGTGCAATGGTTATATCATACTCCCCAAATGTGACAATCTAGCTTTAGACTAAAGAATCTATCAATTAACCACCTAGGCAAAAGTCAATACCCTAGTTCCTTTTAATCATTTGAAAAACTCACAATAGTTTAACCTTAGCTTATTTTAGTTTAGTTGAGCATTGTAGTTTTATAAAATTAGAATCATAATCAAAACCAAAAATGTGTAGAAGTGCAATTTGGAGCAAATACGCATCTCTCAGTTAGATAGACACCCAACTCCAATATCTAACTCCCTGTGGAAATCGATCCCAACCTTAATCGGGTAAAAGCTGCTTCGACCTCTCTCGCTACTCAATAGTAGTGCAGGGTTGACCTCGATCATCCGGCTAGTCATCTCATGAGTTACCGCTCCGTTTTCCCCCATTTATGCTTCTTATTGCTTTGTCTATCGGTTCTATGTGATCGGGTTGGTCGGTTCGTGTTCGGATATGTTTTGGTAAGGTTTGACACTTAGTCTCTTTTGAGGAAGCTTAAGTTGGAAAAGTCAACAGGATTTTGGCTTATGTGTTAGAGGGTTTGGATGTGAATTCCGATGGTTCAGATAGCTTCGGGAGGTGATTTGGGACTTAGGAGCGTGATCGGAATGTGTTTTGGAGGTCCTGAGTAGATATAGGCTTGAATTGGCGAAATTGGATTTTTGGTGTTTTCCGATTTATAGGTGAGATTTTGATATAAGGGTTGGAATGGAATTCCGGGAGTTACAGTAGCTTTGTTGTAACAATTGGAATGTGTGTGCAAAATTTCAGGTCATTCGAACGTGATTTGGTATACTTTTTGGTCGAAAGCGTAATTTGGAAGATTTCTGGAAACTTACGCTTGAATCCGATGTGTTTTGGTTTATTCGATGTCGTTTGAGGTGTTTTGAAGATTGGTACAAATTTGGATGGTGGTATATGACGTGTTTGTGCTTTTAGTTGAGGTCCCGGGGGCCTCGGGGTGATTTCGGATGGTTGGTGGAAAGATTTGGAGTTGGTTGTGACCGCTGAAGTTTCCCATTGCTGTCATATTCATACCTACGGCTAGGGGACCACAGGTACGGTCTCACAGAAGCGAGCTTGGAGTCGCAGAAGCGGAAGAAGGTAAGGGAGGCAGAAACCGCAAAAGCGCTTGGAGAACCGCACTTGTGATGGCGCAGGTGCGGATAGTGAATCGCAGATGTGAAAATGGGATTTAAGTGAGGACCGCAGATGCGGTGTTCTTGACCGCAAAAATGGTACTGCAGAAGCGAGAATTTGGCCACAGATGCGAAATTCCTAGGCCAGAAGGTATAATTATTTTTCTTCGCAATATTTGAGCTATTCCACCATTTCTAAGTCAGTTTTTGGAGTTTTTTGGGCGATTTGAAAAAGGATTTCAAGGGGACTTCATTGAGGTAAGGATTTTGGACCTAAAACTCGTTTCTATGGTGTTGTTTCACGGATTAGAGTTATAATTAATGAAATTTAAGGGTTGAAATTGGGGAAACTAGGGCTTGGTAATCACTACAAGAAAAAGCTTTATTAGGGACCAGCATTTAGCGACAAGTTTTAAATATGGTCCCTAAAAGTGTACTTATAGGGATGAGAATTTTTTTTGGTCTTTAAGAATCAATTTTATCTTTTAAATACACGAGCAAACTTACTCTGGTCTATACAAAAGTTAATGCCTGGTCTTTAATATCGATTTCAGCGGGATAGGGGCGCGAAACTGATGAAAACTAAAGTTTAAAAAAAAGGAAAGTTCCAAAAATTTCATGGTAATCCCTCCAAATTCTCTTTCACCCTAAAATCCCTTCAAATTACTATTAGGCTAAAATTCCTAAGAGGTGGCCGCAAAATTTCATCAAAATGCACAAAGTTGCAAAGAACTCAGAAGGGTAGTGTCTAAAATTTATCTCTCCAAGCGACTTTACACAAATTGCACCATTGGATTATCCGCCTAAACAAGAGTAAGTTTAATTTCTTTCTCTTTAATCGGTTCTGTTTCTTTTTTCTTCTTCGTGCTTTTTTTCCCCGATTGAATCAGAAATCGAAAAAAGGATTCTGCAATTTTTTAGTTTCTTTAGTTGTTTTCTTTAATTGATTATTTTAATACTGATTTTTCTTGTGTAAGTGATAAAAGTGAGATTATTGGATTTTAAATTATTTTGTAAAAGGTAAACCTAAAAGTTTTGAATATCCAATTTGGGAATTTACGAGTTCAACATACAAAAAGCAGGAATAGACATATAGGCTGCAAATGAACAATATAGAAGTGCATTCTAGAAGTGGAATTTGGAAGTTTTGACAGTTTAGGGATTTCCCTCTTTCTTTCCTTTTTTTCTTTTCTATAATTTGGAAGTTTTGGCAGTTTAGGGATTTCTCCCTTTCTTTCCTTTTTTCCTTTTCTATTAAAGCAGATTGAACTTTATTGTTTTTAGGCCTCTGATACAGGGAGAATAAGAGGGAATGATGAAATAGAACGGAAAGATTTAAGTACTAAATAGTTGGATTCAAATGTTATTACACCTGGAATGAAATTCATGGAATTGTTGTCATCTGCACTTCAATACTATGTACGTTTGAAAGTGAATGTAGACTCTGGTTGTCAAGGAATCAAGATAAGTGTACTTCTGATGGACACTTGCTCTCATGCTCTATGGGATATGCTTTTTCTGTCATACATTATGCTTTTTCTACATCGTGATCTTTTTAGGTTATTCTCTCTGATGCTAGTGTGCCTGGTAAAGGGGAGCATAAGATAATATCTTATATTCGGTTGCAAAGGAATCTTCCAAGATTTGATCCTAATACACGACATTGCTTGTATAGTTTGGTAATTTGTGGGATCCTACTTTTCCTTACTTCTCTTTTCTGTTGTACTCTACAACAGCCTACCTTGCCCTTTTTTCTTTATGCTGAAGTGCTCTTTCATGACATCTTTCAAGTGTGTTCTTTTTATAATATTTTCTGGTGCTTCCATAGGACGTAGACTTGATAATGCTGGCATTGGCGTCACATGAAGTTCACTTTTATTCTAAGGGAGGCCAGTGTGTTTTTGGGTGTGTTGTTTTAGGTCTTTTTTCACGTTCTTCTAATTATGTCATCACAACAGGGAAACAAGTTATTCTGATTATGTAATGAATTTGTCCTTGATTGCAGGATGTCCGCAAAGATAAATCAAAGTATAGAGGTCAACAGAATAAGAAAGATATGTATAGACAATAAGCAGGTAGGCACTCAAAAAAAGGGGAAGGGTGCAGCAAAGACTTGGAGAACTTAATATCAGAACAGAAGTTTCAGGTTAGAAACTTGATTTAGTATGATGATGTTGTATCATTGTGTTATCAAGATCCACCGCTGCAGTAAGTTGTAAGAATTTGATGTGGTTGCTTTGCTCTAAAAGTTGGAACTTTAAGAACTGCTCGATATAGTTCTATACTTTTATTATGCTGCTACGAAAAATTCTTATCATTTTGCGAACTGTGGGAAATTATTCTATGTTTGTGAATCCAAATAACTGTATATATGTTGGTTCCAAGAAGGAAATTTTTCTCACTCAAAGTAACTTCTGTTTGAATGCTGAGGCTTCATTTGTTTCTGCAAAAACATTTTTTTCTGTTTCCTTTCATAAATTTATCTACAATATTTTTCTCTTCCTGATTATATGTTCAAAATCCAAACTGGTTCTAGTTTCTTGTGAGTGTAAATTAAGAAAAACCAACAAACACAGATGAAAGAAAGAATAGAAGAGGATATGAAATCCTGGATTTCTGAAATTATGATCTCATACTGGCATCTTATCCGCCATCAGTAAATTGTTCTCTATCTCTCTGGCCTAATCATAATCAGTTAAGAAAATATTTGGAGAAAGCCGTCAAAAGTTGGCTTACTGAATTAACAAGAAACAATTGGAAGGTACTCGCTCTATGTATGATGTACCAATTTCAAGGGAATAAAAATAGTTTCTTTGGTTTAAATTGGTTTGCCATATGAAATTAATCAGATAGAACAAATTGACAATTTCTCCATTTGTCTTAATTTAGATGAACTGTTACTTAATTTTGTTACAATTGATGTCAAAGTTAATCATCTATGATTTTCACTCTCCTTTTAGATCTAATAAGTAAAACCTAGACAGAGAAAACAAGATAGATAAATTTAGGAAAGAGGGTTTGGGTTGATGAATACCCTGTAATTGTTAAGTAGAGAGAATTTATTAGAGGACGTTGTTACTGAGGGTGGAAAATTAGCAAAAGAATGTTGATATCTCCAGCATGGTTCTTTCAATCCCTTATTTTGGTTTTCCTACTACTTTTCTCATATGGAGTAGATGAAATATAATGTATATCCAGTGTCATACTTTTGTTGGTAAGGAGAATTGAGAACGGATTGCATAATTTTTATTATTACCTTTAGGTTCCAATTGTTTCCCTGTTATCTGACGGTATAATCTGTTAATAGCTATCAGTTCAATAACTCAAGTAATGGGATTAGCAAGCAAGTATGCGTCCTGGACAAGGATGCAACTAGGTTACAAGAGAAAACAAACAATTGGTTGGCACGAGCTTAGAAGAGGAAGGATACATAGGAAAAACATGACAGTTTTAAGTTACAAGTTCGAATTTTCAATGTTCAAGTGCAACCATATTAAGTTTGAAATACACGTCTTACTGTCCATCACATTTATATCTATGAAGAACTAATTATTTTGAAAAGGTTATGGTTAAAAAGCGTGTCAGTTTGATTTAAATTGAAAATGTAAAAGACAAAAAATAGACAGCTAACTATAACTATGTGTGTCCATATTATGTGCTTCTATAACTTAATATAGTGATACGTAGAAACTGTGATTCAGGCAGATTATTTGTTTAGACTGAATACTCATATTAGTGATCACAAAAGGCAAGGGCACGTGCATTAACAGACAGAATTAGCCACGTATTAATTACATGCTTGCAGTATCCAGCCATGTTCAGAACAGGGAACGTGCAACAGATTTAGATAGGGTTTCACATTATTGGAGATAACATAGTTTATTCATTACCACTAGGTGGAATCATATAGACATATATTGAACAGAAGCATGCTGAAGTTAAAAATGACTAATCAGACAGCCATACAGAATAGGGTGGGGTAGTAGGAATTAAACATGCTTGTTTCGGAAACAAGCAAACAAAGATCATGGATCCAACAGGAGCCTGCTAGGGTAAACAAACTATAGTAGCACATAGAACATGACAGGAATTAAGGCATACTAGTTAAGAGAGAAATAAGCAAGAGACAGAAACATGTCGATGTCTATAGTGAATTGACTATATAGCATATAGAATAGAACATGGTAACAGAAATTGAGGCATACCAGTTGAGGAGATAACAAACAAGAAGGTGAAGGCAAGTGGAATCGAAGAGTCTAGCCTTGACTTTCAGCCGGCTAGATAGTGCAGTAAATCAAAGAACTTGAATTGTGTAAGTGTGTAAGTAGGAGTTCGTGTGTATTAGTGTGTGTTTTTGAGTGTAGGTGTGTGAGTCTGAGTGTCGAAAAACCAGAATGATGAAGGGTTTTATAGCATATAGTAGAGTAAAACCAAATATGGTAGGAGAATCAATAGTACACAAATAAGGCAAAACGACCAATCAATCAATCAATTAGGGCTTAACAAGAATCAATTAATAGGCAGAATCATGGGGGTATCACTTAAATTAACACGAACAAAATCAGTAGCCGAGATTGAGGTCTTAATAAGGTAAGTAGTAGGTCCAGAAGTCAATTAAAAGTCAGGACATAAAATCAAGCCGGTAGCACGAATAATTAATCACATAAAATAGGTAAAATCTTAATAAGGAGTTGCGGGTACTAAATTCACACCCTAATTTGGGTAATAAAATCAATTAACACTTAATTGATAGGATTAAAGGTAAACAGGCAAACGATAGCAGGATAAACAGTCAAATAATCAAAAACCCTAGGAAACACAAAGACATATATATGGAGCTGGATTAAAACAAGTAAAATTAGTCGGAGAGTAAATAAGAGAGTCAGAGATGAGAACATTTAACGCTAAAAACCCTTTTCTCAGAAATAAAAACCCTAGCTTTTAGAGTAAACGAAATCGGTCAATAACAATAGTAAAAAAAATAGTAAATATTAAAGGAGAAATGCCAAACAAACACAAAATCGTTTCAGATCTAAAGAGATCTAGACGGATTCAACCAGAAAATAGCTAGGTTCATAAAAAAGGACAAACGCGAATCAAATCTGGTTTGAACCAGAGATTTGAAACCCAGAAATACGAAGATACGCATACTCACAAGTACCAAAGTGAATATAGACAGAATAATCGAAAAAGGAGAGACTTTGAACCATATTTGGTTTAAGTGTCTTGAGATTCACATCAAGCAGCGTAGAAATCGTATAACCAGTAGAGATAGGAGGTCGAATAGGGCCTAAAGTCAAAGGGAAACCTCATGGATTGAAGGGTTTCCGGTTGCGGCGGGCTACGGTTTGGGGAGAGTTTGAGAGAGAAAAGAGGAGGAGGGATTCAAGGGAGGAGGAATTAAGAGAAATGAGGCGTTAGGGTTGGGGGTTAGATTAAAAAAAGGAGTAACGTGGACCGTTGATCTCAGAGATCAACGACCACGATTAGAGGAGGTTCTGGGTCGAGTAAGGGTTATTTATTTTGGGCTGGGGTGGATTGGGTTAGGATTTTAAGTAATTGTGCTGGTGTAATTGGTTTAGGTCCGAAAATGATAAAAGGAAAAGGGGCGATTATTTAAATACCCAATTAACTTAATAAAATAATTTTATAAAATAATTTATAAATGATAAAAATATCATTTGTGCATGAAAATAGTTTAAAATAATTACTTAGTATTATAAAAAATATAAAAGTCATTTTCTGTGTATATAATGTAATTATGCATGTAATTGCAAAATGTGCAATTCTAGCCTTAAAAATGCAAAGGTAATTATAAAAATACAATTAAAATATTTAAACACTATATGAGCATAAATAGTGACTTTAGATGATTAAATCATCATAAAATAATATGAGAAATAATTATTTGATATTTGTATACTAAAATGCAGGGATCAATTGATTTAAAGCCTTAAAAAATTATAGAAAAAATTGTAAAAACACTTGTACATGCTTGTAAATCTAATAACACTGCATGTACACTATTTTAAAAATATATAGGCATATTCAAAATATACGAGGGAAAAATTGGGTACCAACAGCTTCCCCTCTTTACCCGGGAAGGATGAAAGAGTTTTTGGGTAAAGAAATGATGACCGATTTTGACCGAATGGGATGTCTTGAAAAATAATAAAGGCCGCATCCTGGTCCTTGAGCTGCCTACATATCTATGGTTTTACAAGAATCAGGCAATGTGTAGTTCTTGACCCGACGGTGAATGAGGCCGATGGAATTGTTATATGAATGGTAGCAAGTTTCGGAAAGGTTGTTTTGTGAAGGGTAGTATCGGATGGGTTTATGGGAAGTTATGAAGGCAAATCTGAATTGTACCGGGCGTATCATAGGGCAGATATCTGAACAATCACAGAGTAAAGGTAGGTAATTGATAGGAATCGGTTAAATGGCAGAGTATAAATGATACGAGCGAAAATCGGAGCGAAGGTTGCTCCTGTTTGAAGAACGGTTACCTCCTAGATTTCCTACAAAACTTAAAACACAATGCATGCAAGTATATAGATTGCTGAGAGAATTTAAACATAATACAAATTCCCTTTTGGACCATAAAGGTTGTCTTTGGACAGTGAAGCTGACGTCCTTAGACCATGACATCTCGGGCCCTGAATCATGAGATAAGAGATTCGTAGGCCATGAAAATGGTGCCTTTGAACCATGATGCCTTTGAATAATGATGTTCAGTATTGAGAGATCCTCAGGCCATGACATGGTGTCTTCAGGCTAAGAGGATGATGCCTTCGGACTATGACGCATTTGGACAAGTTAGCTATATATCAGCCTATGAAGTGCAGAGATATGATACCAAAGGTAATAACAAGGCAACACTTATCCTCGTACAGAGTTTGGGGGAAGAGCTTAGCCCCGAGAAAAGAAGATAATGCAAATTTGAAAATGGAGCAACACTTATGCAGAGGGAGACAATGCTTAATCTTACGAGAAGTCATTTCTTCGCGTTATGCAAATAAGAAGGCAGGGCTTAGCCTCATCCAAAATTTGAGACAGGGCTTAGTATTATGCATAGAGAAGGCAGTGCTTAGCCTTATACAAATATGGAGGTAGGGCTTAGCCTCATGCAAGAGTTGAAACAGGGCTTAGTCTCATGCAAAGAGAATGCAGTACTTAGCCTTATACAAATGTGGAGGTAGGGCTTATCCTCATGCAAGATTTGAGACAGAGCTTAGTCTCATGCAAAGAGAAGGCAATGCTTAGCCTTGTGCAAATGTGGAGGCAGGGCTTAGACTCATGCAAGATTTGAGACAGAGTTTAGTC